ATGGGACTACAAGTAATTGGAACTTGAAAAAAAAGGTGTCAGCCATTCTTCATCTAGGAGTTCTATAACCCCTACCATGCGCAAGAGCCCAGCCTTAGTATAGATACTAAACATTCCTCTGCCCCAGCAACTCATGGCGGTGGCACTAGCACCACTTTGAAATTATGTGATACTTCTCTAATATTAAACATAAATCTACCAAAATAAGGGCTCTGAGATGCTCGCAATAGACACAGGTTTGTAAGAATAGATTACAGTGTAATCCTGGGAAGACTCCCAGGTCACCTCAGGCTTCATTCTTAGTCTAATTTTTCCCTCCTCTTCCCTCTCTTTACCCCTGCTCCATCCCCCATACCTTTGTACTGGATCTACTTTGGGACCTACATTCTGTGGCTGTCCCAAACCCAGCTGCCCCTAACCGGTAGACAAGTTTCCGGTGCTGACACACCAGTCCCTGACATAATCTCTGCCAGGGCACAGCTGCACAAAACGGCCCAATGGGGGCCTCTAGGGACCCAGGAGGCTTCAGTGTGTGTGGGAGGTGGGGGTGGCATTATCTCTCCATTGTCTGAACCCCTGCAGCCTGGATCTTCGCCTCTACTTCCAGCCCCTTCCTTGGAGCAAGAAGACCACACGGGAGCGGGGCTGGGAAGAACCAGGGTTTCTGAGTTAGGTTCATCTGGTGGTGCCCAGTGGATCAGAAATCACTAGAATTCAGAGCCCCAGGCCAGACTTGAGGTCACAGCCCTGCTTTCTTGCGGAAGAGGCAGGAGTGTGGGACCACCCTGAGAGAGGTGACAAGTGACATCACCACCGCTGGCTCCACTTTCTGAGCTTGTACCTACTACACACCCAGATCTAGCACCTTAGAGCTGAAAGAGTTGTGAGGTTGTGCTTCCTCCCGTGTTACAGATGTGGAACCTAAGTCCAGGAGGGAATTATGTGATTTGTCCAAGCTCACACACACAGCAAGTCCGAGGTAGAAGAAAGGTTGTGGGTCAGAAGTGTTTCTCAGAAGTGCCTTCCCAGACCACTCTGGGTGTTGTTGGGGTAGGAAGGATACTACGAAATCAAATCCCAGCTGGGAAATGCCCAAAAATAAGCCACGTAGACAATCCCTGGGGAATTTGGGGGATAAGAGGAAACTGTAGCTACTATCCCAACAGGAGCAGCACCCTTTTCTTTTTGCATAGTAGTGTTTGTCTCTGGAAGGAACCCTAATTCACAGGACCAGCCTAACCGGTGCACAGTAAGCAGCTTCCTCCTGAACATCACTGTGTACTGGACAGGCAGACGAAGTCTCCCAGGAGTGGGGATTATTCACTTCCTGCCAGAGCAGGATGCCTTCTGGCAACTTTTAACTCCAAAAGGAGTGACCAGACCAGACTGGATATCCTGGTTACCCACAAAGCCATACAAGTCTCCAAAAGGCAGCCCAGAGAAGTTACTTACTAGCCAGAGATAACACAGTTATTCCTTGGCAGAGCTTGGTTTTCCACAGCAGTACACCCAGGGGCCACAGTCTGAAACTAGGAGAAAAAAAAGACTAGCAAGGAATGGGTATTGTTGGGGCGCTGACCAAAGTCCAACATCACGATGTGCAAGTCACCCTGCTTCTTTTCCCCAGCAACAGAGCTTTGGGCCCAGGTGAATGCCAGGCCCTGGGAGCTGCCTTCAAAAAAAAAAAAAAAAGCCATTCAAGGAGAAACTTAATTTATAGAAATTGAACTATCTTGGAAAGTTTGCTATTGGAAGAAAGCCTATTGAGAATAATGTTTAAGAGCATCTTTTTGAGGGTTTCTGTAGCCAGAAACCTAAATTCACTCAAGATGCACACACTCCCCTCCCGGCTTTTTCTTCACTCCCTCCAGCTCACTGAGTAACATTAGTGTCTGAAAATTAGGGTAGCTGTAATGCTCTACTAAGAGGCTGTGATCAACTCAGGAAACCCCAGTCTTGCCTATTTCCCTGCTCGCACTTGGGGCAAAAGGAGACCTTACAGGGCTCAGAAAGATTGCTAAGTTTGGGAAAGATCAGAGATTCCCTATGCATGGCTGTTCTAACCTGATAGGTTCTCTCTAACCTTCCTTTTAAAAAAACATGAAAGAGGGAAAACAACTGACCTGCAATTATATAGCAAGTCAGGGCACAGACATTCCTGCATGATTTCTTCACCTTAATCAAGAGTCTGCTTTACTCAGCTCAGGTCTATTTGCAGAGTCCTTGAAAGGGGACAGAGAAGAAGAATTTAACCCAGTTTTTCAAGCATACACTGCCTGTGTTGGAGTTTGTTATCATTACCAGTCTGGTAATGATAACACCTCACCTCACCCTCACGCGCCTGCAGAACAGAAACACTAGGACAATACCTCCAACCTCAGACTTAGGACTGGGCAGCTCTTTCTCCTAAGGCCCTAGCTTCCTGTGTATCTAATGCAGAGAATCCCTGAGGTGACATGTCCCAATCCTCTGTGAGATGAAGTTCTATGGATGGGAAACAGTAGTATATTTCTATTCCAGGCTCATTCCGAAGCTGTAAGACTGAACGCTAGTGCCCAGTGATAAAGTGTTCCACATATCCAGTTATCCTTGGCTTAGGAACTCAAGGTTCCTACTGCAGTAAGCTTGCCCAATAGTAGTTTTTCTCCAATGGGCATCCAGGAGGAGTAGGAAGCTATTTTTTCTCCTAGCAGGAATTAGAAGTCTAAGGGCAGAGAGATTGCCTTCCAAACATATTCCCACTAGAATCCCTGCTTTATGATCTCCCTAAGTCTCTGTCCTCTCTGAAATGCTTCTTTTCCTTTTCCATACTACAAGGAAGAGGCACAGGGTAGGGGATGGATGCTTAAATGCTGACTTCTGACCTTGCCTAATCTTTGGTTTAAAGCCACTAGAAACTACTCTCTTACAATTGTACAGAGGAGGATTCTAAGGTTGGGGGAAGGAATGAAAAATGGTTAAGGAAGAAAAGGGAGATCTGGTGGCCTATGAAAGGTCAAGTTGGGAGAGGAGAGAAGGCCTCAGAGCAAATGGACATAGACACGCCTTTAGAACCAGCCTGGACAGCTCCCCAGCGTCCTCCCTCTTCTTCCCCAGTTGGGATCCAGACCTGTGCTGACAGGCAGAATTGCAGGATCACCTGAGCTGTCACCCTTTCCCTGAGGAAGGGGCGTGGCTCTTAGGATTTAAAAGTCCAGCCCTGCTACCCCCCCAATCCCCACCCAGTCCAGCTCCTTGGAGGAATGAAATGCTTTATTGATTAAATGATTATTCAGGCAATTGAACTAATCAAAGAGCCCATCGACCGCTATGAATTACATTCTTCGTAGACAGCTTGTTGGGAGAGGCAGCCAGTGGGCCACAATTGCTCTTCCTGACCCTCCCTTACACTTCCAACCTGTTTTCAATACATACACAAATCCTAGTCCCAACCACAGTCCTCTGTGGGCATCCCATCTACTAAAGGACCACCACTTGAGGAAAGCAAAGCTGTTTGGGATTGAAAACTGGGAAAAAGAGGTTTTCAGGTTCCTTTTTCTGTGCCCTCATTCCAGGAATGCTCTTGCTATTTCCTTTCCTTAGATCTCTGCTCTCAACATTTTGAAAACACATCTATACATAGGAAGTTATCCTGGGTTTGGGCTCTAAGCACAAACTGTTAAGCACAAGATCTCTGTTCTTTGATCTTTTGGGGAGGGCTAGAGTAAAGGTAGGGGCTCACAAATGGCCTGGGGTGGGGGATTTTGCCAGGCCTGAGAGTGTTTGTGTAGGGGTGGGAACAAAGGCCTAATGAGTGAAAGAGGCCCAAAGACCAGTTTATGCCTCAGGATAGTCAGAGGCTACTGCTCCCTGCCACTTCCTGTCAGACATAAACACCCTGCTTCCACTTCCTGGGCCTGTCAGGGAGACACATGAACCTTGTACCAAAAAAGCCAGTGTGCATTTAGTCAGTCACTTGAGTTGAATGCCCATGCCATGTACACACATCCACCCACTAATGCTCTCCATGGTAGCAGCACCCAGAGCCTAAAAGTACTTAAAGGCACACATACACACATGCACACACACACACACACACACACACACACACACACACAGCAGTGTCAAAGGCTAGTCTAGGTAAAGCAGACAGGCCAGAGAGCCTTAGAAATGTCCTCAGTAGCCTACAGGCTGGCCATTCCTACCTGCCAAAGTTATGCCTGACACAAGAGTCCCTTTTATACAAATGCCAACCTCAACAATGTCCAAAACGTGAAACAGTATCATTCACCACTCATGGTTTCATCTCTCAATAAATGGGACTTGGGCCTGACTGCACATGCTTAGACACCCCAATAGGCCCCAGATCCCTGCCTGTGCCTAGAGGCAGACACTTTTGTGCTTTGGCATGTATACACTGGACAACAGCTGACTCCAAAGATGGAGGGCTCAGAGACATCGTCCTTTCTCACTTCCAAAATCATTTGGGCTATATATTACTGTTCAACACAAACCCTTAAAACAGCAGATGTACACTCAGATACTTATCCAAATTATATACACAACACTCATAGACATTTTGGATACTAAAAAGAACATACAGATAACTCATGCACTAATATATTCAAGGATACAAAGATAAAACAGGCACACAGACTCTTAAGCACAAGTTCAGAAATTCTGAAAATACATATATAGGGACAAATTTATTGTCACTCATGCACACAGTGAGCTCCTTATGTAAACACAGACACAAACTTGCACACCTCCGGATAGACACCAACAAAACCACTCAGAAGCAGAGGGGGGAAAACCAGGCAAACTCAAAGACACTTGGATTGATACAGAAGCACATGAATAGATCGGTGAAGAGACATACAGATAGACATAAAGTCAATCCCTGAGAAAATGCGGCGCACTCCCTCCTCCTCCAAGGGTCGCCCTGAGAGGGGACCATCGCCCCGTCATGTCCCAGCGATAGTTAGCTCCTCTTGAGCCCTGAGCCCGTATCGCGGTCCTACCTGTCCTGCCGGTCCGAGGAGTCGGGTAATTTTTCTCTAAATCCATTTTGATATTTCAGAACTTGTTGGAATGGACAGGGGGGAAAGTTTCCACTTTTTTTTTTTTTTTTTTTTTTTTTTTTTTTTTTTTTTGGTGCCAGGGGCTGCTCACAGGTCGGAATAATTCACCCCTTCCGCTCCCCCGCCGAGCTGGGGTAGCTGATCACTGAGCTGAAACTAAACGTTTTAGGTGGAAAAAAAGCGTCCGAAGGCACCGTGAAATGATTAAGGAACTAAAGAGCTTCTCGCCATGTGAGATCATGTCCTGTTCTCACCAACATCACAAGATGTCCCCAGACACGCCGCGCCCCCAGCGCGCCGCCCTGCACTTCGGGCCCAGAGCCTGGAAAGAGTGTCCGCGCTGCGGCCCGGCCTGCTCAGCACTCCAGACGGGACGGTCCGGGCCGGGCCGGAGCAGTGCTAGAGGCCTGGAGAACAGCAGTGCCGCCGAGCCGCTCCGGACTTTTATAGGGGGTGGGGGGGAGGGAAGGAAGGCTTCAGACGGCGCCGGGCGCTGGTCCCCGTGCCTACGGGAAAGGTCGGACTTAAACCGAACCTTGAGACAGAGCCTCCCGGCCGCACCTTCTACCAGATCTGCGTCTTGAGGTTTCTGCCCTCTGCGCTGTGCTCAGGGATGTGACTCCCCCATGTGCAAACCTTGTTGTGTCTGTGGGCGCAGGCCGGGTTTTTGTTTTTAAAGAAATTACTACTCTTCCAAGCAGGTGCTTTTGAAAGGGGTACAGAGACTAGCAGCCATGCCAGGCAGAGTGGCAGTTCCAGCATCCTCAGATTCACCCCTAGGGCGGCGCCCGCCCCCAGGGTTCCCAAACACCCCACCCCCACCACAAATTTCAGCGCCAATACTCCTGCTGGGCCCTCGACTTTAGGGCAGTACCACATCCCTAAAGCCCTTAGGTCCCACTCAGCTTCCAGGTCCCAGAATTCCACCCTGCAGCACCTCGCGCTCTGGCCCGGGGCAGAGAAGTTAAACAGTGAAATACTGGGGATAAAATCCGGGCCACCGCTTTGGAGCACCCGGGCAGAGCAGAGCTACCTCCAGAGCATTAGGTCCTGGAGAGTGGCGGTAGTTCTTGACACCTCACCCCCCTCCCATAAGCGGAGTCCCCCTGCCCTCAGCATCCAAGACGCTGCAGCCTCTCCAAGCCACCGGACTTGATTCCAGAGGGGCAGTCAGATCAAGAGAGACCGGGCAGAGGTGGGGCATGTCCGGCTCGCTCCCTTCGGCCCGGACTCAAGACTCTCCTCCCTTTCTCCCACCCCAGTCCCGAGTCCAGCTGCTTCGCTTGGCCACTGGAGGCCTGTGGGGCCCGGCTGCGGGGTGGTCGCAGGGAAAAGGTTCTCCAGGGCGGGGTGAGCTCTGTGCAGGACTCCCGGCCTGCGGGACAATGACAGTTTCGGAGAGTGAATCATCCTCAGAGAGTGTTTGTTTTTTGGAGGGGGTGGTCACGAGGCTGGGCCGCAAGCTAGGGGGAAGAGTCTAGAGTTCAAGGGGGGTGGGCAGCGGGAACCGGACATCGCGTATCCACTAAGCAGATTTCGCCACAATCGGAAACGTGGCTGTAGATTCCCGTGAGGCCCCCCACCAACTGGTCTGCGCAGTCCCCTGCGCCACCTCATCCCTGCAGTCTGCGGGTCCCGATCTCCACTGCGCCGTTTGATTTTTGGCGATCTCCGAGCGTTGGTCTCTCCCTCCAAGGCCGGGCCCTCGCTCCAGCTTCCCGTCCTAACGCCTCGCTAGAGCCGGGAGGCAGCGCCTAGAGCAGCGGCCTGTCGGAGCCCGAAGATCAAAAGCCCTCCTGGAACTGACATTTCACCCCAGGCTAGGGGCGGGAGTTATTGTTGTTGTTTCCCCATTTAGGGGCTTTGTTTTTGTTTGTTTTCTGAGTTTTCTTTTCATTACCTATGAGAGAGTCTTTTGTTTCCGATGTTTGCCGTGTTGTTTTTTCATGGATTTGATTTTAGCGGGTATAGCTCAGTGAGTCTCAGGTCTTGTAGGTGGGGTTTGATTTCAGTGTGGTGTGTTTTGATTTTGTGTGATTTTTTTTTTGTGCCTTGTCCACAAAGATTGTTTTTGTGTGTTCTTTGGAAGCTTTTCCTTCTGGGCGGTGTTTTGTTACGTTCTGATTTTGAGTTATAATGGATGTTGTTTGTGAGTGTTGCATTGGAGATTTTTGTGTTTGTCTTGTTTGTATCTATTTTGATTTTGTTTTTGTGAGCTGTGCTTTTGGATGGGAGTTTTTGTTATATTTTTGTGTGTTAGCACTAGTTTTTATGTTTTTAGGGTGCTTTGCTGAGTTTTTCGTGTTTATTTTTGCTTTGTGGAAGCTTTGGGGTTAAGGTAGGTAGGATACACCCACCACTATTTCGTTCCTGCCAGCACACAGGAAGGGAGGAAGATTAGGCCAAGCATTAAGAATAGTGGGTTTACCAGGCTCTGAATTACCCGACTTGGGTGCCGCGGTGTTGCGCTCGGCGCGCTCAGGAACGCAAAACAAATGTGCTTTCCCGAGGGGGCGCGCGCTGAGAGCCACAATCCCGCAGGTCCTGCGGTGCCAGTGTTCCGTTCATAATTCACAGGGCCCTTTCGTCCAGTACCCAGGCCCAGCCGCCATCCCTTTGCCCTGTCAGCTGTGGGTTGGTGCTTTCTTGCGCCTGGTTAGCAAGCTTCCGACTTTGCCGACTCCTGCAGCGTAGGGCAGAAGGGCGGCTCCCGGCCATCGAGAAGGTGCCAAACCATCCTCTTTGGAGGACACTAAAGTGATGCTTCGGTTCTTAGAGATACAGAGTAAGGGGCCAGGACGTGTGGAGTCTAGGCAAAGATTGGTGTATGGATCCCTAAAATCTCCCCATCTCCTTTCCCCGTCACTCTAGGGTCCCAGAAACCCAACTACGCTCAGCTTTCGGTTTGGAGAGCCAGTCCTCGTTTGCAACCATAGACACATGTATCCACCCCCGAGCACGCGCTTACACTGCTATAAAGAGAGCCGGCGCCTCGGTAGCAGCGGCCTGCAAGGAAGAATCTGGCACCGCTTCAAGGGGAAACCAAACTGTAGTGACCAGAAATGTTCTGAGGACAAAATAAGGCATTCTTTCTGTCCACGTTGCTAGGACAACATATCAATTTAAGCACACCTCGGCTTGCTTAAGGCTATACCAGAAAGAAGAAACAGATATAGAGAAAAAAAAAAAAACATGGTAGCGAAACCGACAAAAAAATGCGAGAAGAATCTATGCAGACGGAGATATGGAACAGCAGAGACAAGACTAAGGAAATGCAGATTAGAGGCCCGAGAAAGGGGCTGGTGTAGAGGCTCCTCCAGGCCCCTGTGCGCTCTGGCATTCTGTGAGAAGGAGAAAGCAGAAACCGAGAACAGAGAGTGACAGGAAAAGAAAAGAGACGCGGAAGGGGTTGACCTAGGCACGCTGTGAGCTTCCCCGTAGCTAAGAAGCTGGGGGTGGGGGGGCGAAGTCCCGAGGCGCAGAGCCAAGGTCTGGCTCTTCAACTAAGCCAGGAAACGCGGGGTGGGGGGGTCCAGGGCCCGTGAGGCCTGGACTGGGGTTCAGTGCTGGCCCGGCAACACCCTTCCGCAGAGCCCTGGCCGGGATTCGGGCGAGGACTGGGCCGTCGTAGTCCGTCGCTGGGCCTCTCTCTGTGCAAGCCCTGGGAAGAGCCACGGAGAACCACTTCTGGCCTGTCTGGAGCCCTTGCTGATGTCCAGGCGGAAGAGGAAGAGGCCCCGCCCTAAAACCGGGGGCCCAGTTTTTCGAGAGAGAGCCGTGGCCACAGCTGGACTCGCAGGGTTCCGGGTCCACAGCGCGCACGTGGTACCGCACCTTCGCAGGCTGCTCCCCTCGTGCCCAGCCCCGCCCTGCTTGGGTAGTTGAGCTTGGACCGTGGCGGGATTGAGGGTGGACGCCGAGCCGCGGGGAGCATCGCCTAGGGGCGGTATTGAGGTGGATGGGGGGTGCCTTTTCACCCTCCACTCCCCCGGCGCAGGGCGGAAAAAAGAGCGTATCGCAGACCAGTTGCCGCCGCTGGTCCAGGGCAGAAAGGGTTTGAGAATTGGTTTGGGTCAAAACATTAATTTCTGTTGTGGGTGAGGTCCTGTGCGCCGAAAGAGCTTCGAGCTCTAACTGCTAGCTCGCTGAGCACCATGTGCCCGCGACTCGCCGCCCAGAAATACTCGGATATCCCTGGAATACACGGTGGGACTGTGTATTCTGACAGACTGGTGCTAGTGGTGCGATTTTTGCTTATTTTCCTTTCCTGTTTGTCTCGCTTTAATTAAAAGTGCTGTTGAGAGAAGCCTCAAAGAGCACAGACCTGGGTCGTTCGGATGGGTTCATTTCAACTCAAATCCACGACTGGTTTCTAGTACACAGGTACACAGGGCAATGCCAAGTGTATGTAGGGTACATAGGCACAGAGACGCGATTTAAAGGCAACACTTAGAGAATGTTTAGGTAAAATTTATTCTCTTGGCGTTACATTTGCAACATAAAAACACAGAAAACAGGCGTCCAGTTTTATTTAAAAATTGCGAACATGTTCCAGTAATTCACTATCATTTAAGAATCTAAAATGAGGCAATGAAAAGATTTATTATCATTCTTATGGAAAACAAGTGTACAGTTTGTTTTTGTATATTTCCTTTTAAATTTAACAGTGCCAGACTTTGTAAACAATAAAATCATATTTTGCTAAAAATAGTTGACCTGTAAGATTTTTTTCTATTGATATTAATATGATGAACTGTTAGCTCTCCCCACTCCCTTTTTTCTATTTCACCATTTAATGTGAGCTTTAAATATTCATGCCCCAGATCAGACTTACATTTATTTAATGTGTTTTAAACTAATAACATTCTAATGTGATATAATCTCATTCTGTGAAGTGCTGGAACATAAAGAAGCCTACTTCACGTGCAGTTTTGAGTGAGGGCGAATGCACAGATGAAACGATTCTTTTAGTTTTTGATGCACCTCAGAATGCTAAAAGGAAATGAAATGCACCTCT